ACCTCTATCCTGGTGGTGGTAAGAGAACTACCGGGATTGAGGCTTTGCCAAGTGGGCCGCTCCATAGGAGACTTGGATATAGATTCTAAGTACTGTTCTCTACCCCTTCATCCATCAAATTGTCTTTTGTTGTTGCATTTGTTTGTTTAAACAGAGATGTACTTGTGTTGACATTATGCTGCAGGGACCATTGTTTTTCCTGAGTGACAAGACAGATGGTTGAGGTCCTAATTTTTCTCTGATTGATAGCGCATAAAATCCCCACTGAGTGCTCTCTTTCATGTGATCACAGTTGTGAAACATGATCTGGATTTTTTCTGACGCTGACGTTTTTCTGACGCTGGAAATTCAACCTGCAGCTAACTTTCGGAGTAGTAGTGGCGACGATAATTCCAAACCGACCTCCATCACTCGATTGAATTTCGTAATCCGCAATTCTTAATCACAGTGTCTTGAAGACGCAAAATTACATTCTGATTAGCAATCTACTTTTTGCTTTGTCCGATTTTGTTCTATAAATAAAACCAAAATATAACTATCAGAGTAGTTTCTTGATGTTGAAGATCCAAAGTCTGAATTAATTTTTCTTTTCTGAATCCGTCGTATACCCGAGATCATAATTTGTTAACTCGAACTGGAATTCTTGATTTCGATTGTGTTTTTTTGTCTCAATAGTTCTGATAATACACACCCTTTTTGTGGCAGATTTTTCAAGCTGTAGATGTTCGTGATTTTCTTTTCCAATAACCTCAAATATTTTTTTTCTATGGATGGCTCTTGGGCCTGGTAGGGACAAGTGAGCCGAGAGACAGGATGTCTTTTGGGTGTCTACTTGAGGTTGGGGACAGGGGGCACGTCATGATCTTTTGCAAGGAGGAGAAGGGGATGGAGCAGAGTTGCTTGACGGGTACCGGCTGGGGGGATTTCTCATCAGATGCGATTGAAACGGTATTCACCAGTTCGCAGTAGCGAATGCAGATCCCAGGGCTCGATCCCTAGTTCCCCATCTTACCTGTGTACAGTATTGATGTCAACCCGTAGATTTGAACCTGCGACCTGTCGAAACGCCAGTGGTAGGTAGATTGTCGTAGGTCACAGCTTAGAAGGGAATCGAACTGTAGACTTGTAGGGTAGGAGTCTAGACAGTTCCGAAGTCGTAGTTGTAGGATGTCTGAAGGGTCAAGGTCGTAGTTGCTACTTACCTGAAGGGGCAAAGTCATAGCCGCTACTGCACCGAAAGGCCAAGTCATAGGTTTCTAGAAGTGGCCTTTCGGAGTGGGCAGTCCGGTCCTGTCGAGCAAGTACCGTCTGGGACTGTGTGCACCAAGGGCCAAGGGACACAGGGCAGACCAACGCAGAGCAGCAGTATAAATCAAGAGGCTGCGTCCAGCCATTCATTCATTCCTGCAGATGCCATGCGGAAGCACTGCCTCAGCAGCTTGTGCGAGGAGGTCTGCAGTGTGCCCGAAGACGAAGTGGGCAGAGGAGCGTAGTGTAGCGATAGGGCAGCTAGCGCTGCCATAGCTGTAGCATAGGGTATGTGTGTGTTGTGTATGGATACTGAGTGTTGCGTGTGGGACATCCAGGGTGATCCAGAGTGCGAGCAGTGAGTTGTGTGGGCGCACAGTCGCCATAGCCAGTTGGAAGAAAACTCTTATCTGGTCACGATATCTCTGAGTACTGTGTGGGCGCATGTCGCGAGTTTGCTGTATCGCTGTTTGCATGCATGATGAAGTGTGAATAAGTCGAGTCTGATTGCACTGGTATCGGAGCTGGTACCCGCTGTTCCGCGCACGCCGTCGTGTGCAGGGCCGATGCGCCATAGCTGAAGTGGCCGCTGGAGAAGGCAGTCCGCCATAGCGGACCTTGAGGTGGAAGAAGCCGCCGCGCACCTGCAACAAGAATACCACGACGAAGGAGAAGATCGAGAGAGAGAGAGAGAGAGATGAGAGATACAAGATTGGGTTCTTACCTGCTGCGCTGAAGATACCGCTACGGCGGGAGAGAGAGAGAGAGAGAGAGAGAGAGAGAG